TCAACAAACAGTGGTAGACTGTCTTTTATGGATTATGCTACAGACGTTTGATCCTTCAGTTCTGAAAAGAAACCAAAAATTGTTCTCACTCACTTATATCATCTGGTGGCAGTGTGGTCGGTGGTGGTGGTGGGCAGCCGTTGCTGGCCAGTGTGGGCACCAGTGGTGTCACAGGGGAAAAGGGAACCATGTCAAAAATGTCTGTGGACTGTGGTTTCATGGAGATACTCCCCGCCTGCATAGGAAATTGCATATATAGAAACAGTTAAGGCAAAGTCAGATTTGTGTAAACTTGCACATGCACAAACTACACTATTTTTGTACAAAAGCAAGAGAAGTAGCAGAAAAAAACCAAAAACAGAGACAAAGGCAGCGGATAAAAAGGCTTCAGGGATAGTGGCAAAGCTCAGAGCAGACAGAAAGAGAAAGCGTAGGGAGTTTACACGAGGCCGTGGGATGCTGCATCCCTCGGGAGGCTTAGGAGGAAGCAGAGCAGGTTTGGCAGGTGGAGGAGTTAGTAGCCCGGTAGACAAGTTGGACTCCGGTGAGCTCATAGGAGTGAGCGTAACAGAGGAGATTTCCAGACAGGAGAGTGACTTCATGCTGTGGCACCAGAAGAGAGAGGAGGGCCTCTGCAGCATGTACGCTTCATTAGCTGCATTTATGTGCAACGGCTGAGAAAAAAGATTGCAGACAGAAAATATCCAGGGAGGGATGATATTACTCAGTCTTGCAGAGTAGGAGAGGTATGGCTAATTGCATTCACAGGAGGCTATCACAGATTCTGGCATTTGCCTCATTAGCACAGTGATGAATCACATGGCTCAGACACAGCTCAGACCCCAACAGACTGCCTGCACATCTTTGGTCAAACCTGGGCAAACTCAGCTGTCCTTAAAAATTATTTCAAAACTTAGAGATTAAGTGTTGTCAAAAATAGTTGTGGTTGTGAACATTTAAGTTCCAAATAATACGACAGTCATCATCAGGCACTGCAGTTAAATCCAGATTATGCAAATAAGAACTAACCCAATCTTAGTCCTAGAAATGTAAAGATGAATTAAAAAGCAGTAAAACACACCTGGGTTCATTTCAATACAGCTGTTTTGCTGCTATAGCTTTACTTGTGGTGGTATGTCCAGAAGCCTATGGTGTCTGGTGCTACAGTTTCTCGCCGTGGCATGTAGGCGGTGCCCTAACTGGGGCAGCATTTTTTACTCTCTGCCAGCCTCAGAAAATCCAACATGCACTTCTCTTTTCTGCCACCTTATTACTGCTTCATGGCATGTGGATAGAGAGGAAACCGAAAGCAGCTTGTGCATTACTGTGCCAGATAAATAATTATAAATTTTATGCTTTTGTATTAAAGAAAGTACTCAAACATCTGTTAATCATACTGTTAATGTTTTTAAATGCAAGCTTAAAACATACCTTCACAGTTTCATTACATGTCAGACTTTTTACAACACTACATGTATTTTAAAAATAGAATAGTGATTGGAAGCAGCACACTGGTAAATCTCCAAAAAGGCTAAGTGGTCTCAGAAAACCTGAGACACTGAATGTGCACAAACATCAGCTTCACCCTCCCCTGACATATCATGCACAAGACAAAGGTGTGTGAAAGCACTCTCACTTTGTCAGTTTGAAGCGGCAGCACTGTAGTTACCTTTAGCTAGAAACTGCTACGCAGCAGAGACCACCGAGTCTGTCTTGCAGTTACCCTACACATATAACACCACCCTTTAACTGTCACAGCTCTAAACTGAAAGGCTGTGTCCAGTTTGTCCTTACTGGGGGCACATGAGCCATCATCAGCTGCTCTTCAAGGTCTTGAAGCTGTTTCTTTAACTCTGAGTTTTCTGCTTCCAGTTCTTGAATCTGCATAAAAACAAATGTTCTTTTAGCCATGGTGATTTAAATCTCAGATGAACTGCACTATAACACCAACTATTAAAACATTAAAAAAGACTAATTTATCAACTGTCCTGTAAAAACCAACATCGCTGAATGTTACTTTTTCATGCACTAATACACAAGGCAGTTTTCACTATTGTGCTAATGTGTTTTCTAAATAATTCAACAGGTTTTTAACAGTTTAAGTTTAAAATGTAGAAGACGTTTCCCCACCCACAGAGAACACTGGATACCTCTGCTCACTTCCAAATTAACCCTGTTTGCAGATACAGTACATGGTTGTCACTGGACATATAGTGCACAGCATATGAGTGTGGAAAAAACAATTAAGATACTATAGGACATTTATGCACAGGTGCACATGGCAAAAACAGCCTTACAGCAGACACATTTATAATGCTTCATGATGACCTTATCATCAAAATGGCAAAATATTTTCAACTCAAGAACCACGTGCTGTACTAGCTTTTCTCAGCCTTTGAAAACAGAATGACCCCCAGTGCACTGATTGGAACTTCTCTTCCATGTTGCACGTCCTAATAGTGATTTGGTTAAAGCCACAACAGTGCTCACATGTTAGCACTAAATTCTCCATGACAACTGAGCAAACCTTTTCTGCTAAGTGATGCAGCTGAACCACTGAAAACATCTTGTACACTAAGTGAACCTTGATTTGGGATTATTCTGTACTATTTCCAAAGACATAAATGAAATGTAATTTCACTTTTGACACACATTCAGTAAATGCCACCTTTATCGTATTGATAAGGAGCCTGTTCCAAGCAGCAAAAGCACAAAATAAGTCAAAAAATCTAATGAGCATTTGAGAAAATAGCCAAATAAAATGTAAACAACAGTGCATGTCACACGGGTAATTAACACCCACATCCTGTCACTCATTAAATTAAATTATTTCAAAGGTCTCAATAAATCTCTATTTAAACAAATGGCTCCACAATAATTTGATCCTAACAGTTTTCCATCATTGACATTACTGACATTTGACATTGGATCAAAACAGCCTCATTGTCCACACAGGATAATCAATCAACAGAAGCATGTTCTGTACTAACGGATAAATACATTGTTGTATCAGCTCAGTGGAACAGGTTTCCAAAGTCATTTAAGGTCTATGTGAGACCTGGCAAGCTGAATCCAATGAGTGTGAGACATACTCTTTTCTGTAGGCTTCCAATCTGTTTCCTAGTTTCCACGTCTTTGCCTCCAGACTCCAGGAACTTTTTGTAGGCCAAGTCAAAGGCCTGGCCGATAGTTAGAGTTATCTCTTCTGCCTGGAGCAGGAGATGAACAGCAGTGAGAATTACCTACAGTGGATTTACTCTTGGACTGAAGAATGACAGTTAAATACAAGATGTCAAACAGCGTCAAAATATGAGACATATGCAATAATTCTACAATCTGTTTGTTTCAATGAAAAGACATGAAAACAGACTACTTACACACTTTTCACTGTCAAACACATAGCAGAGGTGTTTGTTGGACTCAGAGTCTTTGCAAATAAAAGTAAATATCCTTTTATCGGTTTTGTCATCTGCACAGAAGGATATCCTATGTAACTGACAGTTATGCTGCACGTCCTGGAAAACAAAAGCAATATATTCATGAACGCTGACTGAATTATTGTGCTCTCTACATGCTGTTGACAGTATAATATAAAGTGTCGTGTACAGTATCATTGCTGAACAATACGATTCAGACCCCAGAGACTCACTTTTGTCTTGGGATCTAGTATTTTCACACCATAAATGGAGATCTGTAATTCCACTTTGGGGATCTTCTGCCCCTCTGATTTCTTGATATGCCTCTGAAACTGTCAATTAAGAACAGAAAATTACAAACAAAAAAATTCGATTAGTCCACTCTACCAACGCAAAGATGTTTATCAGACGTTTACATAACAACAATGCTGTTGTCAGTGATCAACGTGCTAATCAATAGCTTATTTACACATTCAGCAGACGAGAGCAACATTAGCATCGATCTGAAGTCATGTTTCCAGCCACCTGCTGAATGCAAGTCCAAGATTTAGTCTCCAATTAGCCCTGGAAAGTAACAGGTAAGTACATTTACTCTAGTAATGTAGTTAAGTACGATGTTGAAGTGTACATTTGAGTATTTTCATGTTACTTTGACTTCACTACATTTTAGAGACAAATATTGGACTTTACATACAGGGTAGTTAAAATTAGCTCCACCTTGATCCGAGATTTTTCAGGGAAAACCACTGAAAATGATCAGTTATGACGGCAGGAACCAACCAAAGCACTGAGAACAATAACACAAAGAACACAGACACTCTTCAAAAAAAAAAAAAAAAAAATCCATGGCAGCCTTGGCAGCATGTTATCATTAAACTTCACCAAGAATTTGTTTTTGAACTTTTAATCATTAAGGTCAAGTGTTTTGGAGAAGATGCAGAAGGAAAGTAATCAAATCTGTGATCCATTCATAGGGCCAGTCTTTTAGGCAGTGCCAAATAACAATCGGAGACTGTCAGTTCTGTTGCCAATTGGCATAAATACTAGCAGCACTTGGCAGCGAGTTTAGGTCAATAACAATTGAAAATGCCTGTGAACTTTATCAGCTGAAAAGACACTGAGTGCATGTAAGGAAATTTACAAGAACAATATTTCCAAAGTTTAATATACTGTATATGGAGATGGATGATTATTAGGGACTGAATATAGCCATAAAAATCTGTGCCATGGAAAAATGTCTTTCAATTCTTGCTTTTGCAACATTTTCCTTTCACACACATGATCGTCAGAAACATAACTAAGTCTGCCATAACTGTCAGCGTATCTGGGAGAGTCACCATGGAGCACTAGTCTCCAAACAGGCTTTTCAGATCAAATGTAAAGTAACAAAAGAGAGCAGACATGCTTCCCTTACAAGTGGCCTCACGGATTCCATTCTTGGCAGAGGCCAGCAGTGAGTCAAGTCATATTACCAAGACGCTGGGAGAAAGGAGAGATGACTGGATTGTAGCTGGTCCCATGCTCACAAGCTAACACTGCTGGTTTAGTTCAATGTCACCATCAGTGAGTAGTATGTGTTCCTGAAGTACCTCAGGTTAAGTGTCAATCACTGGGGAGGTTGATTACATCAGAAAACCAAAAACCTAAATAACAAATAAGGCTAGTGTGTTTTCCCGGTGTGTTGCAACTACTTATAAGAGTACTTACAAGGACAAATCAAGCCAAAAACTACAGACATATAATTACAATTACCTTCACCTACATAGCTAATGTTGTCTGCTGTTTAGTTCTGCTCATGTAGTGAACAATTGGTTTATCAGAGCTTCAACACAAGAACTGTAATTGATGTGATTTCAGCTGGTGTACAAAACAAAAACCATGAGCAAAAAGATGTTCCATGTAGTGAAGGAACTGTGGAGTTGGTAATAATAATCAGAGGCATTTAAACCATCTTTAATATATGAGCCCTCACTGGTCTCAGTGCACACTGCCAGGGAAAGCACTGTAGGCATGGACAAACCCCTGGCTGGCTGCGACGGTGTAGATGACCCTCTGGACACACACACACGGGCAACCGCACCAACCCTGGCGGTGTAGATGACCCTCTGGACACACATACACGGGCAACCGCACCAACAACCAGAACACCGAGCACTCCCCGCCAACCCCAAACTAAATCCGTCCCGCCCAGAGGGGCATTCTGGAGGACCCCTCCCAGTATCTCTCCAACTCCAACGCTTGAATATGATTAGTGCATCTTTAATGATTGCATGGATTAACATAATAGTACACCTGTAAGTGCATGACTGGCATTAACTCTAACAGTGTAACCAAGCATTAAGAGACCACAATGTACAAAGAAATCAATTATTCACCATTAATATGCACATTTCACCAGCAGTAATTAGACCACCCAGTTCATGTGAGGGACCAGTGGTGGGGAGTATTAAGGGTCAAGAGCCTTTATCATCTGAGTGTGTAATAAAGAACCTAAACTTTAGTGGTTTATGAAGTAAAAACTGAGTGCTGGTATGTCAAGAAAACACTGTGGTTAAAGAATAATAATAATTAAAAAAAACAAATAACCCTTGTATTGAATTTTACATCTAACTGTGGAAGGCTGACTGAGCAAACTGCTGTGCTTATGCAGCAGTTAACACCATCCCCACTTGGAAGCTGAAAACTTGCAAGGGAGCCTAGCTATTAACTGACGAGGGAGGGGGTGCATTTGTCACTCACTTCCACCCCTTCTGCTCTTCGTCCTCTATTCAATCCGGTCACTCAAGAACACTCTTGTGTCCTGTAGGCTACAGTTTTTCTGAGGATTGCCTTTACCTTCAGCTTTCTGACTGCATCCTTCACAACTTCTGTGCCTTTCGGGGCTTCGACCTCTGTGTTTCCAAGGAACTGGAAAGACAACAAAGAGTTTGTACATTTGTGATATGGCAGTAATACAACAAAGGTATGCTGTATACTGTATATAGGCAAGTGTTGGGTGCATTAAAAAAGGAAGAAGGAGCTGGTAGAAATGACTTTTATATGGAAGTATTAAAGATAAATGTCATAAACCTGGCAGGGAGTAAACTGTGGAATAGTCCTTTAGACAAACCGTAGTAGAACACTGACAGAACATTTACATCAGAATACCGATCTCAGGTGACATTCTGCTCAATGTCATGTGGTATTTCTTAAGATCAAATGATTGTAAAATATCATTTTATACATACTTACTTTCTTCAGGTATTAAGGTACAGTACTAATACTTAACTCTTATCATGTACGTAAATGCACACACACACACACACACACACACACACACACACAGAAAAACACATGCTGCTGCAGCTGCACTTCTGCCTCTCTCCAACAGATAGAGCCATTAACCTTTATGTCTGAAGATCTTGCTTTCCATCTAGCAGGAGCAGCAGTAAATGTTCCAGTCACACACATCGCTTCACTGCCCCCCGAGCTTAATGTGTGGAACCTGTGCCAATATCAGGCTTCATAAACACCGGTGTCAGCGTCTTAAAGGTTTGGAAAAACAAAATAACAATGTCTCCCAGTGGAACGCAGCAAAGAGCGCAGACAGACTCTACGACGCAGTAAAATCTGTGAGAAGCGTTCCATGACCTGGCTTTGCTAATGTCCACTTAATGTCAGAGTTTGCCTGACAGACTCTTTCCACATTTCTAAGTGCAATGAGACAACACCAAAATGGCACTTATCAACAGAGGCAGAAAACAGGCTGAAGCTTTATATGAAAGATGGCTTTGACAGTGTCAAAGTGTCACAGCTCAACTGTGCACTTTCAGATGCAAAAACGAGACAAAGTAGGCACAGAGAACACCGCTATTTCAGCCTTGTGTCAGGTCTGAAAAGAGATGAGCACTGAAGAATAACATTCTCAGGTTTTTGGGACAATTTAAGTGACTGCTGAATGTGCTGTGACTGTTGATGTGAGACACTGGTCACAGCACCTCTCAACATTTTCTTTCTTCCTGCAGTCCAGAGGTAAATACCACTTGTGGATTACGGAGGTCAGCAGAAACTCACTAAGGCTGCATCCAAGAAGCTCCAACAGCAGCTCTGTGTGACAGTCAACTTAACAAAAGAGCGGCAGAGCACTGAAACAGACGGGCGATACTATGGAGGTAGGTGAGTCTCTACTGTCACTATTAAAGCCAGTTATTTTCAAAACGGGTCAGGGCAGCTGGACTGCCACATCCTGTCTGGTGTTAACGACAATGTGGCAATTCAGAACAAACACGAGACTGCAGATGTGCTTGGTTTGGTGTGGAACACAGGAAAGACATTTCATTTCTAACTGAAGTCAGGGCTTTGTCTCTCTTTTCACTCTGTTGAACATCAAACTACATAGGTTTTTCAGGAAACTTCCTAGAAAGCTCTTAGGAAAATAGAGACCTATAAAATGGGAGTATTAAAAACACCGGGGATTGATTACTAGACCATTCATTGGTTAGTGTTTACCAAATCTGTTTTACCTGATTAAAAGTACAGTAAATGTTTTTGGGTTTGGGACTGTTGGTTGACAGAACACGTCAAACAAGGAACCGGTAAAGGACAGCTCGTTATTGTCTGATATTATACAGACTAAAATTAGTTGATGATTTAATTTAATTAAAGTAAAAATTGCACTTCTATACGGATTAAAATGCATTTTATATAAATAAAAGTGAGATTGGGAAATAATAAATCCCTTCGTTCATTCTCTTTTTAAAGTTAAACATTCTATGTCTAAAGCTCCTGAAATGAACTCACCCATCCATGAACTTAAACAACATACTGAGAACGTGCACTCAGGATTCTTATTAGCGACTACAGCCCTGCTTTCTAGTGTGCAGTACCATGTCACAAATCATATTTCACCTCAAGATCTAAAGTTTAATTCCAGAAAGCCCCGAGGAAAACCTCTGAGATCAATAGAGCAAAATAATGCAGCTTGTTTGTTGACACAGGAGATTTTTTGACCTTGTTGAAAAAACTGAAAAATGGCTAACTGAGCTTATTTTCAAGTATTCTAAGTGCTTTAGACTATAGGCCAAACACTTCCTCAGCACTTTGGCTTCTCATTCCCTCCAGTTCCCTCAGTGATGAGTGGCGTACTCAGATCTCAGCAGACCGAGCCGGACAGGCAGCTCATCAAGCTGACAATAAGCAGACAGTATGGGGACTGACAACACACTTTGATTTAGAGACGTGTCTTCTGACAATTCCCTCTGCTACAGTAAGGGAGCTTCAGCAGTTTGGGTGGATGCAGTAGTTTTGGAATTCCATCTCAATTTAATCTGAACATTTCTGAAGTACAGGACGGAGGCTGACAGACTCTGCGCCGCATAGAAGACAAACCTTTGGTTGAAATGAATCAGAGAACCAGTGTGGCAGGGGCATGGTCCCCAGGTGAAGAGGAACAGTCCTCCTTAGGGATGTTTTGAAAAAGACTTTAAAACAAGTGTGTGAGGGAGTGGGTCATTTCATAAATTAAAGAACAACAGTAGATTTTCCCACATCAAAGCACAGTTTTAGAGTTCATACACAAGGTGTGCTGGAAAAAAACCATTAACAATGGAGATCTATCAGGTGCCTACTGAGGAAACAGAGACAGGCTCATTTGCCAGACATTTCCACACACTGAGCTGCTGTCCTCAGTGAAAAGTCTGGTTGTCTCAAGAGAAACAAGCCATGAAACATTTGGGCTGAAAGGTGTCGGACTAGATGGAGTAAACAAACAAAACGATGGGAGCCACAGAAGGAAGGGTTCAGTTTTGTGGCTGTATTTTACTTTCTGACCGTTCCTTTCACTATAAAAGCCTCTAACCGTTGTTTAACAGCAGAATGCCCACAGGACTGTTTTGTTTAATTATTATACACTTACTGTGTTCTTTCAGTGCTCACTACAATCACAGTCTAAAACTGATACCTACCTTGGCATTGTAGGCTATGTAATGCTTGGCCAGTGCATCTGGGGTGTGCATCCATGATTTATCTGAAATGATACAAGCAGCTCACTCAGTCTCAATCAATGGCCACATTGAAAACAGTATGGAAGAAGTACAATCAGCTTCATAAGTGGATAAATCTCACACCAATGAACATGTCTTGTTGCTATGTTTGTACTCCGGACCATGTATTCATGGTCACCAGTGAATAAACGAGTGACTGATTGATTAAATCAATTGAATATTACACAAAAAATCATTGCATTCAAAGCAAATGGGAAGACATGGATGTGAACAGATGTGAAAGTGCTCTAGGTGTAGCGGATTAAGGGAAAGATAAATCCCTGAAAGTCGAGAACATTTCAACATGAGAACAATATGTGTGCTTGTAACCAAGCCCGGAGACCAGATGGCCGATAGCAATGTATAAAGACAAGATGAAAAAGAAAAGAAACTTGGGTTTGCAGGAAGTGACAGAAGTCAAGTTCACAGCAAGTCACACAAACACATTCTGCACACCTGGTCAGAGCATATGTTGCTAGTTAACTACACCTAACATCTGTATCAACTACAAAGCGACTTTATAGAGGTCATGTCTCTGTCTGAAAACTGCACATCTGAGGAGTAAGGTGGTTTGCTGATCGTGTGTGATGCTGTTTTTATTGCTTCCTATGAGACAGTCAGGAGACTTGATGTGACTGGCAGGTACTCAGGACAACCAAAGTCATCAAGTATTTCTGGGCTGGAGCAATGATTTCTTTTAAACACTTGGGTTTTAGTGCCAGTATGATTTTTGACATCATCACACAGTACATATAGTTAATGACTTGTTTAAAAATTGCTCTAGACAGACTTTGAAGATTACACCAACCCAAAATGTGAAGTGGTTCAGAGATCATTACAGATCACTGACAGCACAATCCAAAGCATCGCATTACGCTGTTTTCAGCATTTGTTAATCACCCGGTGATTAAAGGCCCTCTTCTTTCTTCCTTTCCCGTTCATAAACGGCTTATTGCCTGCGTTAATGAATCTTGTGATAAAAGAAGCATGACGGTGACCTTAGGGCACTCGTACTCCTGTAGGTTGATTGCATGAATAAGACTTTGCAAGGAGCAAATATGGATCAATGTTACCATGCCCTCTGCAGAAGTATGCTAATGACCGTTTACATTTATGTTGTTGGCTAATTACTGCTCAACCGGTGTTTTGTACACCCCCCCCCCCACCCCCCCATTTGCTTAATTCTGACGGCTTATGTTTGCCAGTCCACCATATTGTTAACAGGAAAACAAATTGGCAAACTTTTGACTTGCAAAGGAAATCATGATATACAGTGGTGTGAAAAAGTGTTTGCCCCCTTACTGATTTCCTATCTTTTTGCATGTTTGTCACACTGTAATGTTTCAGATCGTCAAACAAATTTATATATTAGTCAAAGATAACACAAGTAAACACATCATGCAGTTTTTAAATGAAGGTTTTTATTATTAAGGCTCTATAGTTTTGGATTTTGTTTTCCCTTAATAATAAAAACCTTCATTTAAAAACTGCATGATGTGTTTACTTGTGTTATCTTTGACTAATATATAAATTTGTTTGACGATCTGAAACATTACAGTGTGACAAACATGCAAAAAGATAAGAAATCAGTAAGGGGGCAAACACTTTTTCACACCACTGTATGTTTGTGGTGATAAATTTTATGGCAAAAAATGAACGATACATGCACATAACCACCTAACACACAAATATGGTGGTCTCTCTCAGCTAGTGCCACTTTTCAGGCACTGCATGGCACAGTGGGAAGCATAACCATCATAAATCAAACATTATTCCATTGGAAACCTGAAACTACAGGGCTCCAGACCAACTTTCCAACTAGTAGCACTGGTGCTTCTCACTGAAAACAGAACTTGGGTGCACTGGTTGAATCAACATGCAACAAAACACATTCATATTTTTACTGATAAATGCTTTGGTAACAATTAGACAGTTTATAGAAATAACAATGTGAGGTTTAGTTTTATAGGACAAAGTCACAAAGTGAAGCAGTGTTTGATGACTGTTACATTTTCTGCTACTTCCACTCTTCCACACACATATACAGATTCTTGCTCCCTCCTGGTGTGTCACAATATAAGATGATGATTGGGGAAAAAAAGTGTGGTGACTATAATTTAGTGGCACTGCTTCTAAAAACAGCTGCAAAATACAACTAAGGGGTTGCAACAGGAGGTGAGTTGCGATGAAGGTCACTCTGCACGGCTGAGTGCTCCGTTGTTCAAGGGGTGACAGCCTGAAAAGTCTCACTGCTCTTATGACATAGTGTAAGGTACTTTCTCTAGAGACAGGGACAGCATTGGTTCTTCTTCTCACGTTCCTGTTTCCATTCTGAACCAGTCAGAATGTGTGAAAGCACAGAGGTCAAGAGTCCTGGATGTTACATTCCAGCTGATGCTGTCAGGTCACAAGCTTTGAACCAGGTATAATTTTCCAACCTCTGGCCTTAAAGTTTCAAGTACAATGCGTTACAGTACATCATCTCGATTCAAAAGTCATTCATCATTGCTCCTGATGAGCATCAGGAGTCAAAACATCAATCTATCCTAAGCCCTAAAATTTGTTTTATTTCAAAGGGTGGACTAATCCTCCCAGTACTAATATGCCACCCATTTTTCCAACAATGGCAATTTAATCTTTGCATTTGCCTTGTTTAAACTCCTATCTGATCAAATGGCAAGTCTGTGGACTTGTGCCTAAAATACTGCCAAAGAGATAACAGCTTTAATTAAACAGAGTAGACCGATATAAATGGTTAATCGTTAAGTGTAGGACAAAATAAATAAATAAAGAGAAATGACGAGTGCCTTTAGCTAAGAAAAAAGCTCTTTCCAATGCAATGCAAACAGAAAAAAAGAAGAAGCTTTGGGATAGTGAAGGCTTGTATGTGCCTCAGTTGAAGATTTCACAAATTATGTAGCACCTTACTGCATTCACATGTTGTGGTGAGCATACAAACAGATCATTTTACTAGGTTTTGGACTGACTAGAGTTTTGGCAAAGCTGTCTTCAGTACCTTTGATTTTACTGAGCAATAGCAGTCCTTTTCACACATATGCATTGTGCACTGGAGGAAAAGACAAAAGGGGGAAAAGATGCTTTGTACGGAAAAAAAATGCACACCTTGTTAAGTAGATTTATTGATCGTTTGAACTATTAGACTCCATCACAAGTCATCTCTCCTTATCTTCACAGTAACAGCTGTATTTTACTTTATCTCCCACTTCTTTTTCTCACATTCTACTGTGAATCCAGGCACTGGGGTCATAAAGGGCCTGCATGCCAATGAGATATGCATCCAAAGAAACAAGTACTCCAGTTTTCTAAAGTCCTCCACTCCAAAAACTCATATTACAGATTATTCTTTGCCTTTAAAAAGCTGTAGGGGACAAATGTGTACAAGGACAAAATTTTGCTGAAAAAAAAAGCAAGAAAATATGTGCCAAAGATCAGCCTTAATATGAAGTTAAAGCCCATCCAGATATAGTGCAGGACAACCAGGGACTTGTGCCCTCACAAAGCTCACAGTTTGCCCAAGCAAACATGTTTGGCATCTTCCAAAGAATCACCAAATGAACCAAATGCCTTTATTTCACTCAGACTGTTGTGGTCATGCCTCTTTAACTTTTAATCTTGCAACACCTCAGTTCTTACCTTTTGGAGCTTGATTGCTGTGCTATAAGTACACAGTTTATATATGAGGCTACAAGAAGAGGGTAGGCAATAGCCTAATTCACTGCAGTGCTCAATCATTGACAGAGAATTTGCTGGGTATGCAGTTCTCCATCATGCAGCAGACAACGTCAAATGGGCTCAAAGCAGAAAGGGCCTAACCCACACTTGCCCTGTGTGGGCAACATACATTTGGCTCTGTTCATCAAATACTGTTCGACATACAGTATGAAGCAAGGTACAATGCAACAAAGCCTATGTTAATGTTATGGTGACATAGATGTAGTGTCAGTATCTCACATGAAAGAATCTCACTGGAGGTTTTATACACAGTGTATCTGAAGGAACACAAAGCATGTCACCAGCTCCCTAAAGCCTAATGCAAACCAGTAAAGCAACATTACAATCTGCATTTACAGCCACATAAACCAAATCTTTCAGGGAGTAACAACAGAAAATTACAATGTTCATGATGGAAGATATTATTACAGTGCTACTTTGCTAAATTACACTACACTGTTAAAGTGTTCCTGCTTCAGTCTCCAGCCTCTGTAAATTCATAAATGACAACTTCGCCATTGTGTTGAAAAGCTCCTGAAAGAGTTCACTCAATTTAACATGAAGATGAAATGCAGCAAATATTGCTGGGAGGAAGAAAATCAGGGCCCATTCAGAGTTAATCTAGCTAAAAACAAGAATGCCTACAAGTCATATGTACAATATAATATGTACAATAATGTCAGATGGCTTTATTAAGCCAACATGGTCAGAGCAGGCATTCAAACAATGGCACATACAGCTCTAGACTCTAAAAGTGTCCTTCCAGAACAAGGCGTCTTTTCTCTAAAAGTGTCCTTCCAGAACAAGGCAGACATACAGTATATACATTTAATTAGTAACATTATAACAGCCCAACAATCTATTAGTGCTCTAATCATAAACTAAACTATTACTGATGGCTCACGAGATAGGTGAAGGGACCTTAGACTGGTGTCGATATTGTCCAGCAGACTAAAGTCCAAGTATCGTCTTTGTTGATTCAGTCATAATACTGGATAGAGAACATATAACCCTAATAATAAAAACCTCTTAGAAATTAATGGGACAATCACAATTGTGATGAATAAGAGTCTAATGCACATCTGTCAGTATACCAGAATACTCCATCCAATCACCCCAGTTGGCTTAGCTCCATCATCATTTAGATGTAGCTACGGACATTTCCAAATTTAGAAACTGTTCAAGATAAAGTGTGAGAAAGTAAACATGGGGAATCTGTCCTTTGCTTTGTTCCAGCTGTTGAAACACACAATACAAAATAAATAAATAAATTCCCATGCCTGTACATATATATATAACTTGAGAAAGTGTGTGTCATCAAAATACCTCAGAGCCTCTGGTTCCCACAGATGAAAATAAAATAAAATAAACCATCTAGGACAAGCAGTGTTCTGCCCTTGACTACTATAAAATCACGGTACAGTACATTATACCGTTAAATTTAAGCTATTAGGCACTTACATCTCCAGCAACTATGTGTTGGTGTGATGGAATTGTAATATATTTATTACCACAACTGAAACAAACATATAGTTTTCATCAAGGCAGGATGTACTGCTGTATCTGACAGCATAGGTTTTATCTAATCAACAGGAAGCTGAGTGTTACTGCTACACTGTATTGACAAACCCCTCAATGACTAAGGTATGAAATCACTTAATGAAGTCAATAAGGAGAGGTATTCTCTTTAAACTGCTGCTCTGAAGTTCACCAAAAGGTCCACATTAATTCTCAAGTGCCCAACTGTTCAGTTTAAGTCAGATCCTTAGAGCAATGGGGCGATAAGCACAGGAGATGAACATGATCGGATCCCTTCTGGCATTGCCTGTTAGATGTGATCAAACCCAAAAACACACAGACACCGAGGTAAATCAGTGGAGCGGGCCTGTCATTTCGTGCTGGCCAATAGCAGCAGGGGCAAGGTGCACGAAGTTGTAAAACAAAGCAAACAAAAAAAAACTATTGGACACTAATATCCAAATGCTGATTTGTCTGTTGGTTACTCAGTCATAACTTTTATTAAGTTTAGAGGTGAACAATGAAAGCTGTACTAGCCTATAGCCTGTATCTAAACTACCCATGTGTGTAAAATAAATAAAATCAACAAAAACATGAAAAAATGATAATGGAAGGAGATGTTAACGGCAACAACTCATTTTGGGGACCTTTGGCACCATTTGCCATGGACAGTAACAAATGCAAATAGCAGAAAATGAAACCTGAGAGAAGCCTGAGGGTGAGGCATCTGTTAGTGCTAAGATGTAACAGTGTGTGGTGGAGGTCAGGAAACTGCCTGTCCTTCTCTAAGTAAAAAGGCTGTAACAGACCATTATGTCAGACGAGTGAATGGAGGCCCAGTTTTCAGCTCCCTACAGTTGCAAAGAATTGGACAGTGTGCTCGCATGTCTGGGAGCGTTTGTTACAAGAAGACTTTTCTGTCTGTGTAACTTTCTTGTTTTTTGCAGGGCCCCTTATTATCTGTCTGCTGCCAAATCCAAATTTCAGACGGTGCCTTGTTCCAACTATAAGACTGTTTCCAACACGACATCACCACAGGCATGTGCAGATGTATAGCCCCAGTACTAGCTTAAATTCACAGAAATGAAATGCCAGTTAAAACGAGATGAATGGAGCCCCATTCCCATTACAAACAATTTAATGTGAAGTGAGGTGGTGGAATATTTGCCCACCCCATCTTTAGGTCCTAAAATAGAGGAACAAATGGGAAAAAGTGAATTATAACAGACAAATATCATTACAGCCGGGTGCACCACCTGGGTCCAAGGCTTCTCCAGGTCTGTCCCACTGAGTGGGACAGATGGTGGTAAACACATCGAGCTGTTTTCCAAACTGCAGTCCCAAACACCCCCCCCCCACCCATCACACACCCCTTGCATATGGGCAAGGCTCTGTAGTGTTGCACAATCAAAGAGGGCAGTGCAACACTCAGGCTGGTTTGCATTCTGCTGGTATCAACAGTTCTGCCATCCTTCATAGCTTCGTGGGATGAATAATTTTATGTTTAGGCTGTTTTATTACAATCAGTGTTGGCCAAAGAACATTTCAAGTTGCACGGTGCATGATTTTTTTTTAAATCCATAAATTAATCGGGGTGGGGGGCTGTTGTAGTTAAAACAGGCTTAGCTATGTTCAGTGTGCCAAATGGACTCACCTTTTTTCCTGTTGAAGGCTCGGTTCATAGTGGAAAATGTGTGTCTCTGAGGTGCCTCCTGAGAATCAGCCAATATCCCACCTGGAAAAGCAGCAGGGAACAGAGTTAAAAATGGCTTTGACCTCAAACATTCAAAAAGCAAAAACTCTAAAGTCAGTCTGAAGTTTTCTCTATGCAAAAAAAAAAAACCCAAAAAGATAAATGAGGTGGGGGTGAGGTGATGTTTAGTTGTCAGAATGTATTCAACAGAAAGCACCAGTGTGTTTGCATTATGTTTACCTCTTACCACTGGGTCAAATCATACTCATCAGCTGTGGAGTCTGTACCTTTACTTGTAGTGTTGATAATAATATATTCACTGATCTTTTACAGTTTTACTGCACAGTATACGTCTGTGGCTAAAAGGGAAGTAAAATACAGTGGTAGCCACTGGAAGTGTCACACCCTGATGCTCCGCTTAGAAACAGCTTCTTACAAGAAGCAGCACATTGGTAATAACAACCACTGCAGTTATTGCTGTGTGTACACTTAAATCAAGGTTGTAACTCTTATGTTTTTGGGCTCTCAGAGTTTATATCCAGGTGCCTTGTGTATCACCAACACACACTCAGAAACAAAATGATCTCACACCAAAACAACATTGGTATACATCATTATTCCAACTGTACAGAAACTGAAAGTAATGTAGTACATCATTCAACACTGTGCTACGTTACAAAAAAAGGAGCAATTTCTTTTACAAATGCAAAATGTCCATCTCCACACCATCTCTAAAATGTGACCCTTTGCTTTTACTGTTTTCAGACCTTCACATCGGTTCCCCATGAGAGCTCAGCAATGTAGCAGACTGCAGGGACAGAGTGTCCAAAACTAGGCACCTGACAGTGTGCACCGCAATCAATATTCTTTACTTTCTTTTTTAACTGTGAAAAAATAGCCAAGGCCTGATGCATAACAGCAATTTCAAACCTTGCCTCTCCAAACAAATTAAACTTGTGTCCAGGCAATTTAGAAAATGAATTGAATTTCTCTGGCATTTTCCATTTTTCAAAGGAAGCCTGAGACATTATACATTTTTAGTAAATGGAAAAACAAATTTTGCTGATGCCTAAAAACCAACCTGCCAACATCCAGTATCCTCCAACTAATGCTACAATTTTAGAAACATGACTATTGTACTGTATGTTAGCTTTTGATCCTAGAAGATTTACTGGATCTGGATGCTCACATATTCTGGAACTGTTCAGAAACACACATTTGGAAAATCTTCCCACACTCAATATCTATACATAAAAAAGAAGCCTCACTGGAAAGGGACCCAAAGGTAAGAAGTAATAATAATAATAATAAACACAGCTACAGACAATTAGACCTGGGCGATATGGCCAAAATATTTTCATGATATATGTTTTCATATTAATCCAAAGATAATTCTTGATATATATATGTATAATGTAATTAATGAAGGAGACATATTAAATTTGTTTGGTGGTCCACAAGATACTACCAGTGACTTATGGTGAGTACCAGGGGTGTGGCAGGATCTTGTGCCACGAGATTTCACAATATTAAAACATGGCGATATTTCTTATTGTGCAATGTCCTCCCTTCCTCACTGTTGCTTTTTTCCCCATTTCTAACTGTGTGTGGTTCCATATTTTGGCCCTACACGTGTCAGCTATTTCACTCTAGTGCTGTAGTCTAATTGGATGCAGAACAGATCCACATTTATTGATCAAAAGTTATGTATCAGTTTCATCACTAGCAAGGACATTTTTAATTGCAATAATTATCAAGATTGTATTACACCTTAATTAGACCCGATCCAAAATGAAGTGGACCTGAACAGACCCAGCAACATGATTTACAAGCACCTCCTGTGATGACTAACACACCACCATGTGATCAGAGGTCAGATCTAGTCAGGTATTTCACATATTAGTCCCTTTAAGACGTTGATCCTATGAATCTGTGGGCGACATGTAGTTGTGTAGCAGTTGCTTTTTGAGCAGCCTAACAGAGCTGCTATACACCAAATTCCCAGCAAGGCTTTGTTCACACATAGCAGGATGCAGCCGGGTATAGCCGCAGCATTCATGAGATCCAACAACAGGTGAGATAGACACATGTGCATGTTGGACCAATTTCCATCCATTCTGCGTTAGCTCACACTGCTAAATCACATCTTCTCTGTAGCAGTTCAAAGTAAACTTTGCAGCAGCGTGCAGTTTACATGCATCTCATCCCACTCCACAGTGCTTGGTTTAAATGTCGTAAACAACTACGTCTTACTATACACAGCGCTGTCTTCTTTAATGTTTCCTCACTGGCAATTTGTCCACTTCAGTTCAGACATGTAGCGGGTTAGATAGTAGCTGACTATGTGACTAGGTCCGAACAGGCAAAACTGCCAGTAATGCTTTCCTGGCTTTGTAACTTGGGGCGTCATTCAGATATGTCAACTAGAAGTCAAATAGCAGGAAAATTCCTGGGTGGCGGTGCACGTCTCAAAGCGACTGTTGTATAAAGAGCTGAGACCCAGAGCAAAACAATGGGAGCCTACCTGACAGGATCTGTCTGACGAGCCCAGCTCAGGTACTGGTTCAGAAGAGGATCTCTACCAAGGATTACCACTACGTGTTGTATATACTCCACCAGTTGGTGCCTCTCCTCAAAATACATTTTGACTTGTTTCATCACCTGTCACTGCAATAAACTGCCAAGGAAGTTTAACCATATATGATGTAGAAACACTATGTATGGGCTTAATACAGTATAAACGATGTCACCCAGAGAATAGCCTTTAATGAATAAGACATCATTAATCAATCACCTTTGGAGCTGAGAAATAAGATAAAAACTAAAGTATGTGAAAACAGCTCCATCACTGTAACATGGGAGCTTACTGTAGGTCATTCGTTTTGACTGGCTTGTAGTAAGGTCCATTCATCCACCTATTACCTATATCACTTATCCTAACGATGGTCATGGGGGGGCCAATGGGCAAGAGCCAGTACATCCTGGACAGGTCACCAGTCTATCGCAGGGCTGACATGTACATAAACAACCACCCACACTTAGCCGCCAGTCAGCCTAAGCTGCATGTCTTTGGACTGTGGCAGGAAGCTGGAGTACGTGGAGAGAACCCACGCAGGAACAGGGAGAACACACAAACTCGGCACAGAAAGGCCCTGGGCGGGGCTTGTACCTGGAACCTTCTTGTTCTGAGGCGACAGCACCAACCACTGTGCCACCATGCCACCCTTGCAAAATTATGGTACTAAATCAAATATCTTTGACTGCTGGGATAAGCTGGTGAGAAAATACCCATAAGAAAACTCAATTTACTTATGATTTTGCATTAAACAGGCTCAGCAATGATAAGCTATACCGTCAGCTTACTCTGAAAAATTAAAAGCCCTTAGCTGTAGACCGCACATAATAAGGTACATAATAGTGTCAGGCGATATTTTACTGTAGCACAGGCCCTGAAAAGGGCTGAAGAAAATTTAAATGGAACAAGATTCAGGGAGGGGACTGGGACATTCCTCAGTCTGCCAAAACAGAGTATCGCTGTTGCTGAAAAGAAAAAAAAAACACAAGTTGCATTTCTTATTTCCAGGTCTAACATACTGCAGTTGAAAGCACGAACAGTCAAACAAGGACACTACTATTATTTGCCTTTCACCAAAGACAATCAGAATAGATTCTGCAGACCTCAGCATCAAACTACTCTGTACTCATGATGTGGACGGACCTTGGTAGTGGTGCCTCTGGTACTTGTAGCATTTTAGAGAACAAGCTTTTTGCATTCAAGTGCACATTTCCCTTTATCCTCAACACAATTTAGGATATGTTTTATTCTAAGATAGCACTGTATTTAATGGTTTCTCATGTTTTACTGTATAATATGTCATAATTATTTTAAGGAGAGAGGAATGCCAGTATGGATTTTTTGATAGCAGGAAGTATGGAGGAGGTTTGAACATCCTCCGTTCAGTTGAATCATGAACACCATAAAACATGTTTTTAACCAAAAGCAGTACCTAGAGGTGTGGTACACCTAAGCTATGCAGCTAAAATAAACCAAATTTCAGAGTGTTTACATAATGTCCCACTGGAGCTGTGTTCAAGTCAGTCAAGGCATTGTTTGCAGCTGGAATTCTCTGAGTGCAATGGTTGACAACAAACAAAGGACGGGCAGTTGACCAGGATTCTACATCCAATCATTAAAAACACTTTAATTTGCCCCATTGGCTCAGGACATCCATTAACAGCCCCCATTAACAACTTTATGTTCTTAATGCAGTACTTGAAGACTGGCCCCATTTTGGCAACCGGTGCTGAAAGGTCTGGCTGTGGACAAAGCCTGGCTACTTGCTGCCTGTTTGTGGCAAACTGTGGACTAATGCAATGCCTCACCTGATGCCTGACTGTGATGTCACTCATTTTGATTGATAGCTGCAGTGTTTGACCTGTTTTAATAGCTTCCTATCTGGTCATTCAACAGCACCCCACTGGGAAAACTGCTGACCCCGAACACGTGCACAGACAGACACACAAACACAGACTTAACACTGAGCTGCAAACTTCCTCAGGCTTCCTTCCATGTTTACTGGAAGGCCCGGCTTAGGTCTGCTCGATTCCACACCAGAAGAGTGTTTGTATATGAGCACATATGCACAAACACATACAGAAAGTGTCACATAGCAAACTCACAAAACACTCAGTCGATTCATAATAATGAATATTCCCAACATTATTAGATGTAATCACAAAAGCAGGTGGACACACAAACCAAAATTAAATGGTAATTTAAACCATAAAAGGCAGTTACAGCACACTAACATCTAAAAGGAAACAAACACAGTCTAAACATGACTTTAAAAAGTTTCAGCCCCTTACATATACCTGCTCGCAACATGTAGTGTGTTTTGTGGTTCAAAACATTTAGTAAAAACTGTGGAAAATATAAGCTAGCACTTCACTTCAGTCTGACAATTCACCTTCAGTGACTCAAACATTTGGAATTTAGCTTGTGAAAGACTTTCTGGAAATGAGTTCCAGCCTACTTTGACCCTATGAATTTGTCTCCTAAGCCCAAGCAACAACCAAAAAGTTTAATGAAATCCAAATGTATTTTGACCAAAGCTGTTGTTTGAAAGAACATATTTAAAACTGACAAACAAATAAACATAGCAAAACAAAGAACGCTAATGTAACCTCCCATTTATGTCCCTCAGGCACTCACTAATCTGACCCATATGCAGGAAAACAGGCAGCATGCTTTTAACATAGGATGGAAGCAGAGCATGCTCCGTGGTCCCCACATAATAGCCCAGAAAAGAAAATCAACAAAGATCCTTTGTTTTCTTCACTTTGCTGCGACCGCCGCTCTGGGCTCTTGCTGGTTAAGCGCAGCACGTAAAACATCGTAACTACAATCTGTGAATTTATTCCCAGAATTCTTCAGCTGAATCAAGCGTGGTGCCTTGCTGTCTCATCTAAAAGGCTTGCTCTCTCACACCCTGGCACTTCAACTCCTATGGATCAAACAGCGCCCTGACACACTTTATCAAAGAAAAGCACTGCCATCCTTTAAGAGGAGAAGAAAAAACACAAGAGAAACATGTACAGTAAACAACATCAGAGCTGAGACAAAAGCTGCTTACTTGCCTTGAAAGTGGGGAAGAATAGTGAAGGGGAAGTTCCAGCGGATCTTAATAGTTTTCAGCTGTGGGCCAGATGGTGGTACACTAAGGACTGCAGCAAGCAGAGATAATGGGGTTTGCAAACCCAACAAGAAGCTTTTGCCTAGACACACGATACTTGACATTCAAACTCCACTTCCTCCGCCCACAGTTTGTCCAAAACAGATTCTGCTGGAGTTTTGGAAGTGCAAAAAAAAAAAGCCCCCCTTCTGACAGGAACTGCTTCACTGTGGCATACAGCACCACAGATGACCTATAAAAAAAGCCAACATGCCAGGGTTTGCAGTTTGACCCTCTACTACACCCTGTGATTCATGGTCACACTGTGTGCACTAGCAACCGCCTTGGGTCAACATCTTGCCATCAATCACTTTAGTAGTTTTACCAAGACATTATGATGCCAAAGTCACATGACTCCTCCAAAACCCCGAAAGCCTTCCCGTGAGATTATATCAACTCTAACCTTTCCCACTGCACTCCAGAAACATTTAAAACTCAAAGGTGTGTATCTTGGCAGCTATAACTATGTTATGTCACTTTAAACTCTGACAGCCAATTGTTCTTTTTACCACAAGCTGTAGAGATGAACTATCTAGGACACTGTCAATGAGAGGGGCAGAGGGCAGGGACAAAGCAAAAAGCTTCATGTTGGAACTGACAAACAGTGCTTAATGAGAGCAGGTCAAAGAGCTGTGTTTTGTCTTTTTATGTCCACATCTAAAACCTCATGCAAATGTTGTCTCTCTGGGGTCTAATGAGCAAACTGTCTGGCTGACTCTGCTTACTTCACAGACTTTTAAGTGTCTCAGTGAAATGCAACTACTTATGGAAGGACAACCACCCACTTTTAGAAGAGTTAGAAAGAAATTTAAGAGTGTACTGTATGTACAGGAGAGCACATTCAGAATAAAGGTGATATTTGATTTGATTTTGATTTGATTTATTCTTTCAAGCATGTAAAGACAGTTGATATATCAACACACATAATTTTACACATATCCAACAAATGCTAATCCAGTATCAATTTGCTTATACCTAGTACATGCTTGAATGGAGTAGGAAGAAGTCAGACTTATCCAGTCCTACCCCATGACATCATCTTACCATCATTGGTTTGCAAGCAGTATCTCTACATAAATAATTATCTTCTACACCACACAAGTAATATACTAAAGAATTATAACAAAGTGTTAACATTCGTACATAATTACATTCTTAAATAATTCTCTTCTACACCACACAAGTAATATACTAAAGAATTATTACAAAGTGTTAACATTCGTACATAATTACATTCTTAAATAATTATCTTCTACACCACACAAGTAATATACTAAAGAATTATTACAAAGTGTTAACATTCATACACCACACCCACAATGTTCCATCTGGTTAATCATTAAGCCTGTTCTTGCATATATCTTGATTGACACATACCTTTATATTTATGTTT